TATTTATTACAAGGATTGGATTACATGTTGAACATTTGCTTTGTTCTATAAAACTTTAACAACATAGAGGGGTAAAAGATATATCTTTGTAAAATATTTTTTTAATATTCATTTTAGTAACATTTTTATAATTTAAGAAAGTAAAAATGTTATTATATTTAAAAAAAAAATTAGTAACTTCTTTTATTTTTAGTAGATATTCTTACTATTCATCATATTTTTCTATAAATATACAAATAACAATTTACAAATAAAAGTTTTAATGGGTTCACAATTTTTTTTTTTTTTTTGAATGAAGGTTAAATTGTTTATAAGATTTTAATATTAAATTATTCGACAATTAATATTTTATTTATTGACATTTCAGTTATGTTTCCTTAAATACTATACATTCTAATTCAAAAGTTCATGACGTTTGATAAATGAACTATTAATATATCTGTAAGATTGAATATTAGAAAATATTACAAAAATTCTTAGGAAAAGCAAAAAAATTAAAAATGAATAAAAAGCCATAGAAAAAAAAGTAAATTAAAAAAATAAAATCGTGTGTGCGCACGCATATATAGTGTGGCACTGTGGCAGAAGAAGGAATAATATCCAAAATATGGCACACATAACTAAAGCTGACTGTTGACTAAATAGGTTGAGAAATTTGACTTTGAATTGGAAAGGAGCCATCAATTCTTTCTAAAATTAGCAAGTTGACGGTTACATCTAAGTTCCTTCAAACAGTGACACGTCTGTCCTTTTCAAACTCCAAATAATGTCTCAACGGCAAATTATTGTGTGAATCACAGTTGAAAACAATATTGTTTTGTTTAAAAAAAATCATTTGTACCAAGACTATATGGTTTAATGGTACTCGAGTTGGACTTTCATTTGGAAGGTTGTGAGTTCTCTCATCAGTGGAGACGTTATTGGTTCTTTGTGTTTTAGTAGGTTGAAAAAGTATATGAACAGATACTACATTGTAATAGAGCCAATAGTATTCAAAATAATGGCGTTTGTTGCAGTTGTTTATGCGTTAGAATAATGTACTTTATGGCTAAGTCAAATTTCTCAACCTACTACTAGTGATCATCCATCTAGGATGATCAATGGCTAAAATAAATGACGAGATCAATTTTTAAATATTAGTACAAGAGAATTAATTTAGGGATTCTATGTATCTATTTCTTTAATGTAACAAATCTAAGACCAAATATGTACTGTACTTTTTGCAAATTAGCACCAGTAACTCAATTGCACATGAGACACTAACAACAAAAAAGAAACGGACAAGCAATAAAGACAAAGACAATGAAAGAATATCCAAAAGCGAATTAACAAAATTTAGAGTAATTTCAACCAAAAGTAGTATCTACTACTTAATACCGTACCAACTATTGGGGTATTACTAGGGATGGCAACAGGGCGGGGCGGGGGCGGGGCGTATACTCCCTGTTCCCGTCCCCGAAACCGTCGGGGAAATTAAAAATAGCCCCATCCCCGTTCCCGCAAGGAATATATGCTGAAAAAATCCAATAATAATAATCCTACGAAAAGGATTATTATTTTATAGAAATATTGGGAAGGAAAGGACGAACGGATGTGGTGTAGGTTCGGGTTGGTGGTTAACACGAGTCGAGTGAAACGCTCTTTCCTTAAAATCTTATTTGCTACCTCCCACAAGTGCTAGGAGCGTTGTAGCCTAAGTTTCCTAGGATAAAACGTACTACGGTTCAATTGTTTGAGCACTCAAACAAAGAACCCGGCGAACTAGAGCAAAGCTTAGAACACAATTGGCTAGAAAGGAGTAGAAGCAGAAAATATGATTTCATTGTTGTTAAATCTGCTGCTCTACTATCAACTTATATAGGAGGAGGTGACGTAAATAGCCTTCATTCTTGGCATTTAAACTCAAGTTTAAAACTTGTTTGTAACCTTCAAAACTGACTATTCAACATGGGGATTAATTCTAGAATTTAAAATTCAAATTAACTACTGATGCCAATTTTCCGGGCGACATTCGTGCCCGCAAGTGCTAACGTACACGAGTCAAGCATTTTCAGACCCTTGCACGCGAGAGAGAACCTCTATGCTATACGATTCAATAAGCCTTAGAAGAGCTCTTGTATAAATAATGGTGCAAACTCACTTCTCAACCAATGTGAGACAAAAGCTTCCTTTTTACCTTCAATTTTCCAACTCAAATGGGTCTACTTTGAGAATCAATTTCTCATTCACCCATTATCCATTTTGAGCGTACAATTTATCAATCTCTTCGTCTCACTACGAAGAACCCGAATCCACTTTGACCCAACCCAAATCGAAGGTGGACACCACTAATAATTGTACCACAAAATAGTTAGTTAAAACGCCATTTATGCTATTTTTTCCAACAACCCCAATGGAAAATTAAAAATAGTCCTCATCTCCGTCCCCGCAGGGAATTAAGCGGGGACGGGAATTCCCATCCCCGATCAATACTTAGTCAACATATTAAATTAGTGTAATTTTTAATTTTAAAACTTAAAAATCTATGTTTTATTTATTTGTTAATTATTATAATTATTTGGGGACGGGGCGGGGCCAGGAGGGTATCCCCATCCCTGTTCTCCGAAATTTTTTTTCATCCCCGTCCACGTCGGGACGGGGTTGGGGATTCCTATCGGGCACGGGACAAATTTTTATCCCTAGGTATTACCAACTGTGGTCCTCCAACTTTAAAATTGTCAGTAGACATTCTCCTAGTTGCAAAAAATAATCACCCGTGATTTTCCGTTAGATTTTCTGTCAAATAAGTGTTAAGTTTGAAGGAAAATTTTTCTGTTAATCGTGCAATGGGCATATTATAACTAGTATAAAATAAAAATTATAAAATAAGACTGAAAATCCAAACGTGATCTTAAGAAGTTTTATTTTAATATATTTTTTAATTTGTGGGGGAATTAATCTGAAATTGGGATATTGCAATGAAGCTTCATAGTGTTCTTGATCAGATGAAACTTTTCCAAAGTAAGTAATAATGGATAAACATAAGTGATTGAAAGCAAGCAGTAATGCATTCCAAGTACGCAACATATTCATGAAATTATTGGATTATTGATACGATTTTTTTTTTTTTTTCTCTTGGAAGTGGGGGAGGGGGGTTTGGTGTTGGTAAATTATTGGGGTTTGAGATTGAATTAGGATAAAAGCAAGTTGAATTCTTTTTCTAAACACCTTATCTTTTTTTTTTTTTTTTTTTTTTTTTGGTTCTCTAAACACCTTATCTAGTTTAATCTTGAATCACAATTTTCTCGTCCTTAATAGCTACAAACCTTTTTCAGCGGTGTACATGTCTGCCTGATTTGATTGGCCTTACTTGGCATGACTTGTAAATGGTGTTGGCGGCTATGCAGTTTGCTTTGTTTGAAAACTAGATCTACTGATTTTTATTTTGGTAGGATTGAAAGACTGCAAAAAGAGAAAAATATACTCTAATGCTCCACATCAAGATCAGACATTCAAGGCGTCAAAAAAGGGAAAATTTTTGTTGGAATTTTTAGTATAAAATAACATAGAAAGTGACTATTTTGTGATACAAATATATGTGGGGTCCATTTCTGATTTGGGTCGAGTCAAATTAGATTCGGATTCTTCGTAGTAAGACGAAGAGATTAAAATATTGTATGCTCAAAACGGATAATGGGCGAATGAGAAATTGATTCTCAAAGTAGACCCATTTGATTGGAAATGAAGGTGGGAATGTTTTGTAAAATCACTTGTCCCACATTGGTTTGGGAAGTGAGTTTGCACCTGATGGGGATGTAATTTTGCATTTCCTCTTTTTAAACAGATTAACTGGAATAATCAACTGACGAAATGGACTGACTGATTCAGCGATGAAGTCAGTAAGTAATAACAAATCATAGAGAAGTTTAAAGAAAAGATAACAGCACAAAGCCAAAGACACAGAATGTTTACCTAGTTCGATACAGTGTGTATCTACGTCTGGGGGACGATCACATAGGCGTCCAATCCACTAAATCATAATCCAATGTACAAAGGTAGATATCCAATAATCTTACCCAAGTGCCCCACACAAGGTACATACCAGTCTACACAGGTTTAGTGGATTGTTGAAGGTGGAGAGCCATGCATACAGAAGTCCAATGAAATCCCTTCACTTGGAGAGCCCACTCTGATGCAGTCCACTTCAATGACGCTCTTTACTGTTGTTCCCACAACAGTGTGATCACAGTGTCCTTTTGTTTAAGCAGCAGTGATTCTTCTTAAGTTCATCATCTTAATCACCATGAACATGTTGTATTGAGAAGAGGCAAGATAATCAAAGATCTAATCTCATAAAGCTGATGCGGAGTGTTTCTTCTCGCTGAAGGCGTAACCCTAATTCACTTCGAATGAGGATACTTATAGATCCATCGATAGAACACTCCTTCCATAGATGTCTTTGATTGTAGATGGTAGGACAATATTTGAAGAATGTAATCTTAAAGATTCGGTCCATACCTTTCCAAAGCAGATACGCTGATCTTCTTTCCAAATCTATCTTCTGTAAAACCGCGTACAACTTTTAAGAAAACAGCTTCCTAAAACAGATCTTCAGTGTCAGTCCTTCTGTTGTTGTGTCTGATTGATCAGTCCTCTGTAGAACAAAACTGACATTAAGCTAATCCTATCTTAGTATGCCATAATAATATTGCCAATTATAAGTTAGGGTTTTTTTCGAGCAAATAAAACACTAACAAACCCCCCCTTTGGCTATTATTTGGCAAAACAACTCGACTACGTAAAAAGAAGTATAATACTGCAAAAGACTAAGATAGGATATCAAAAACAAAACAGACCCAATATTCGATTACATAGCAGAGATAAAATAAACTAAGACACATTCTTCAAACAATAGATGCCATCACAGTCAATCGCCCAGCCAGGGCCAGAAGGTACACAAACACAAACAACCCCCCCTAAGTTCATACTCCCCCTTTTTGCAAAAGAGAGCCAAAGCCAGGTCAAGCGTTGGAGAGAGTCTCACTGTCAGACTTCACAGGATCAGCAGCAGTGGCCTCAGTTAGGCTTAAACGAAGAAGAACAATGGCCAATTCCGTGCGAGCCCCTGTTAGCTGTTTAGCGATTATGCCATGAACTGTCTCGAGCTCAGAGACTCTCGCCTTCAATTGGATAGAGAGTTGAAGATCTCGTGCATGTGGTGAGTCATCCGCCACTGTATCAGTCTCAGGATTGGAGGGGGCAGTCACCGGTGTAACATCGCATATATGATCTCCAGTCAATAGACGCCGGTCAACCGTGTAGAGAAGGGTCGGACTGATCACCTCACTCGCCATAGGCTCAAGGCCCTGAGATGTAAGAATTCCAAAGATCAAATTAGGAAAGGGAAACCGTACCTTTTGTTCTCTCGGGTGAATCAGAGTGAGAATATGATAATAGATCCACGACCCAAGATTAAAGGACATCTTGGTTCCAATTCTGAATAAGAGACTAGCCAGTTGCTTGCCGACAGTGTGGAAATGCGCCGAAGGGAGCCAGTTATGCAGAGCAAGACGATGAAGAATCACATACTTGGAGGTGAGCTGAGAGCTAGGTAGAGTATCCTTATCACCAGTAGGCCATCTGTCAGCTTGTCCACCAGTGATCGTTTTGGCCACTGCATCCCAGTCAGTGATAGCTTCCTCTTGGACTCCTTGCAGACCATAGTACTCGTTAATCTTGTCAGGGCCAAACACATACCATTTCCCACGAATGAAAATCTGCATTGGACGCACCCCAGACAAATTATCCATCTCATCATTGAGATTACAGTAAAATTCGTAGGTGAGCAGCTTTGAATAAGGACATATGGCAGTGACAGTCTTCAGCAGACCCACTTCTCTCAGCAAAGGCAGAACATCACAGACCGAATTCATCTGGTTTTCATCAACAGATCTTTGGACAATCAGATCTCTTCTGACCATGGTGGACCACTTGTCTTGAGCAGTAGGGGAAACAAACTGAGGTCTTTAAATGGATGTGTCAGGGCTTTCAACAGCTTGAACCTCAGGTGTAATGCTCCGACCTCTGGCACGGGTAGCAGGTTTCACTTTTCTGGTGGAAGATGTGGGGACAACAGTTGGTTGAGCAGCAACAGAACCCTTTTGCTTAACAGAAGACCGTAGAGTCTTAAACACTTGTTGAACAGGAGGATTGGTCTCAGGTTTTGCAGGCTCACTAGACTTCATTTTCTTCTCTGGTTGATCTACATCAGCAATGTCCTCACCAGATTCAACCACAACCTTCACAGGAACATTCTTTCTTTTCGACCTTCTTGTCTCCTTGGATGGGGAGTGGACATGAGACACAGAGTGACTAGAATCAGACACATGAGCAGATGAACCACCAAGGATATTAGTGACCTCTCGTATTTTGAATGTGGTGGAATCAGGATGAGCAGTAGCCTCAATAGTTGGAACCTGAGATGTAGGAGCTTGGGTGCCATAGACTTCAGCTAGTATTTTTTTTTATCTTCACTCGAGGATTCAGATGGGTGAATCTCTCGGTATGGTTGTGGAATGGAAGCAAAAGGTAAACCAGCAAAGTGTCGCACAAATTCCAGGCTTTCACCTAATGATGTGGAAGTGTAGACTGGGATTCCACCCTTTCTTCTCAGACTTAAAGGGGCCTGAGAGATTAACAGTCTCAACATGAGCAGGTAAAACAGAAAATTCATCAGCAGGTACAGCAAAAGAATCATCAGCAGGACAAATTTCTTTAGGATCATCAGCAATCACAGCAGGGGACAGATCAATATTATCAGTAGAGAACACAACCAGACTCGGATTGTTGGACTCATCAATCGGTTTGTCTTCCTCTACAGACGCTTTAAGAGACTCACTATTCAAGGGATCAGACTTCTCAACAGGTAAGCAAGGAGGATCAACAGATACAGATGATTTCTTAGAGACTAAAGCAGGCACATTCTCAGAATCAACAGGAACAATAGATGGGGCAGCATTAGACACTAGATCCTCAGGTTTATCAGGTGAAATTTCTATAGGGGATTCAGAGGAATTTGACCTGTTTCGCAGAATCTCAATACGATGTCTGGCTTCATTCTCAGCAGCCTGAAGATACAGGGGTTGAGCAATTTCTCGACGACGGGAGATTTCTTCAGACTCAAGGGCTCTTTGAGGAAAGTAATGGAGGAATGCCCCAGCGCGATTTCCATCTGAGGGCTCTGGAATAGACGCCGGATTAATGTCATCACCTGCTTCGGAGGCCAACAGCAATAGTTCACTAGTGTCATCGTCGGAATAGTCGGCATAAAACTCTGGATAATCAGACAGACTGTAACACCCCCCAAAAACAAGACCTAAAAACAAGTCTTAACACATGCAGATTAACACAAACACTAGCACAGCGGAAGAAAACGGAAACTGGATAAAAGAAATCCAAAACAGGGGTGTTATGCCACGTCTACCACACCCGGTAAATGCTAAGGCGAACAATCTGCAAGTGTATAACTATCCCAAAACATCAAACTACAAACAGTCTAAAACCATTGGCTCGCAGGCCACAAAAACACAATCTAAAGGTACAGGCGCTTAGCTACCGGCTCTAGACATCGCGCTCGACTACTCAACACCTGAAAGAACACAAAAATAAACATCGGGGCGATGCCCGGTCAGCGAAAGATGCTGGTAACCCACCAATACCGTTAAGTATCATAAATAGGTAGATATAAGATATTAAAACCATTTTCGAAACGGAATACACATATATAAGTCAAAAGCCGAGATCAAAAGACAACACAAGACTCACCACTCACAAGGATAACACCAGGAACACATCCCAACCACAAAGGTTAACCATACACAAGGATAAAGACTCACCCAACGGCAACACATGCCAAAACACCACAAACCTCCGTGACTACACACGTCACGAGAGAAGATCACACAACAACGGCTACACAAGTCCTCGTGACATCACCCATCACGAGTTGATATGCCTTCCTTATTCACTGTTCCAACCTTATGGCTACCCCCATCCTTGTACCTTCAAAGCCAACCATTACCTCCAGAAATCCCCTGTATAGCCAAGTCAAACCTTATTCCGCCGGGACCGTCGTCCCCCACCTATAACCACCAACGAAAACCCACCAATCACGGCAACACATGCCCGGATAACACAATGTTATCCCCCAATCACGTGGACTCAGCCACAGCTCCATAATCACGTCACGGCCACCACGAGGACCGCTGCAATACCTTGGTGACTAGCGTCCCATACCACTAATCGTGCAATCCAGGTAGAGCCACACACGCACCACCACTCACACGAAAGTCAAGCAACGGATTACAACGAAGGTATGAAACATACTCAATCAAGGAACGGGTCACCACCCAACAACAACAACGATGAATAACGCAAGTTATCATCAACCAAACGGAAGGTACGAACAACACACACGCTTGCATTAAGACAACAAACTAGCATGCTTATCAACGGGGAAACTCAAGATAGTTCCGAGGAACACACAAGGCACTTCTTGGTTCAACGAAACACAAAGTTGAACACTTAGCATGAATCAAGACACCAATGATCCTACATGGATACCTACCATAAAGCTCTAGACCTACGAAACATCAAGAAGACGCTCAAATAGTTCCACAAAGAACAACGGGAAGTCAAAATATCAAACACCGAGACAAACGAATCACGGGGAACAAATCCCGAACCAACTCCACCGTGTTCCCCGCGGGTGGACCCACGGGTAGGCCCCTACCCGTGGTTCTGCTCGCAGGTACAACACCCACATTCCCGTGTACTGGTGGGTGGGCGGAGGGTAGGGCTCTCCCCGCCGTTCCGCCCGCGGGTACACGCTCCTGTGTCAAACAATCCCTTCGGGGATTTTCTTCTCCAAACACAAATTCAAGTCCAAAACACACCAAATCTCACCAAACACAACAAAATGACTTGAACCAAGGAAAATGCCAAGCAATGGCACAAAGGAATCCTAAACACAAGCTCTAGATATGCAGTATCACAAGATAAATGCATAAACTCTCACATTTCATAGCAAAACACAAATAGAAGCCAAGAAATCATATATAGGTAAGCAAAATAGGTTTTGTAGAGCATGGGTTACCTCTTGAAGACCAAAAGACTCCTCTTACACCACAACAAGCTCTCCACTAAGCTCACTAGCCAAACCCACTTCAAGATAAAACCAAAAGATCATAAAGATCCTACCTTTAAGAAAAAACAACTAAGATGGAACCAAAAAGACTAGACAAGCTTAGATCTTACCGTTCTAGATGCCCAAATAGAGGAAAGATTGAATCTTGGAAGCAAAACTTGGAATCTTGACAAAGGTCTCACTTGTCTTGAAGAATAAGCTACTCTTCTTTTCTAGAGAGAAGGTAGAGATATTTTCTAGGGATTGTAAGGGATGAAAAATGAAGAAGTCTTCTAGGTTTAGGTTTCAAAACTAACTCTTGGTGAAAAGACAAAGCTACCCTTACTAACTCTTAGAAAGTGTAAGGAACAAAGGAACTCCTCTCAAAGCACAAGGTACAACACCACTTAAAGATTGACTAGTCAAATACTAGTCCTTGAGTATAAAAAAAATCAGGATTTTAGGAATCAATTCCTCAAGAGAAATAGAATTAATTACTCAATTAATTCATGGATTGGAGTGTGGATTTTTGGGGTGTCACATCCTCTCCCCCTTCAAAGAAGTTTCGTCCCCGAAACTTGGGTACAACGAGTTAAAACGAAGGTAACAAGGAAACAAAATTGTGACAAGAAATTTCAAGAATATCCCTTTTGGTCAAAAACTCCAAAAGTTCTCACAAGGGTTCCAAAGCAAAGAAGAAGACATCACGAATTCAAGGATTGGCAAGGGGTCAACAAACGGATAGATTGAGCATCAAGAACTCTAACCTCAACACAACAACCAACTTCTAGACAACAACCAAGAACCAACCCAAACACCAACTAACAAACTAGCTAAACAACAAGGCAACAAACAAAACAAGCAAGCACACAACAACCTAAGAAAACAAGGTACCTTCCACAAACAACTCAGGGTACCGCTCCCGCATCGATGCCTCCAGCTCCCAAGTAGCTTCCTCAACCCCATGATGAGACCACCAAACCTTTACCATCTTAACAGATTTCCTACGAGTGTCCCGAGTCTTGAAGTCCAAAATTCTGAGCGGCCTTTCTTCATAAGACAAATCTTCATCTATCAGTAACACTTCCGGTGGTAAAACATGAGCCGGATCATGAACATACCTCTTGAGCTGCGATACGTAGAACACGTTATGCACACTATCCAACTGCAAAGGCAACGCCAAACGGTAAGCCAAACTCCCAATCCTCTCCAAGATTTCATACGGGCCTATAAACCTAGGGCTCAACTTCCCTTTCTTCCCAAACCGCATTACTCCCCGGGTGGGAGATACCTTCAACCAAACCTTATCCTCAACTGAAAACTCCACCTGTCTTCTAGCCAAGTCAGCATAAGACTTTTGACGATTCTGAGCCGCTTTCATCCTTTCTTGAATCTGTTTAACTTTCTCGGATGTGTCCAACAAGTACTATGGTCCCAACACTATCGGATTAACAAGATCCTCCCAACAAATTGGGCTACGACACTTCTGTCCATAGAGAGCTTCATAAGGTGCCATGCGAATACTCAAATGATAACTGTTGTTGTAAGAAAACTCTATCAAATCCAGATGGTCCTCCCAAGACCCTTGAAAATCTAACATACAAGCTCTCAACAAATCCTCGATAGTCTGTATAGTCCTTTCTGTTTGTCCATCGGTGGCTGGGTGGAAAGCCGTACTGAGACTTAGCTTAGTCCCAAGGGCTGCTTGTAAGGATTTCCAAAATTGAGACAAGAACCTTGGATCTCTATCGGAAACAATATCCCTTGGAACTCCATGATACTTTACCACTTGGTTGA